AGCCACTCATTTTGGTATTTGTGGCTCACAAGCTGTTTGAGGCTGAGCGCGGTTTGTGCGCTCCACTAATATAGATCAGTGGTGGTGCACGCACTTTTGGTGTAAGCGCGAAACCTGCGGGAATGACTAAAATAATACGCAATACAAGCACTATTTAACCGGAGCGAATGAGACGTGTGTGAGGGAGAAGGGGTCGTCAGAGAGAAGAGAGCGAGAAAGAGCGGCTGACGTTATTGACTGTGCCGCTGGTAACGAAACGGATCGGCTCGGAATCGGAAAGAAGTGAGACTGACCGGCCGGTCACCGATCCGGGCCGATCAAGAGGAAAATCGGCCGATTCCGATCCCTGGCCAATCGATCGGTGCATCTCTATGTAAAACCTCAGTTTGCCTTTGCAGACCCTCTAGATGTTATTAATATAAAGGTTAATATGGCAAATTAGTGACCATTTAATGTTGCTGGGTAAGTGGCTTGATATTAGAATAGTTGAATTCATGAAAGAAGCCTGCAACTCCAATGAGGAATAAATGTTGCATTTCTTCCCAAAAGAACATTTCAGTGAGCAATCAGTGTGAAGAGCATTTTAATAATCTAGAGAATCTTCTTCCACCATAAATAAACTTATGTTCAATGGAAAGGTTCCATGGATGTGGAAGGATCTTTATGGAACCGTCAATGCCAATAAAGAACATTTATTATTAAGAGTTTTCTTATTTCTTTCGGGTGCCATAAATATGAATCACAAATTTAGTGTCACATTCTTTAAAGTTGCTCTGCAGTTTTCCTTAGACCAGATTAATTTGTCAAAAGCTTAGTAGTCTTGGTGTGACAAATTAATCATTGCATGTTTAGTGTGCCATGTGTAAGTGCATGCCAAGCCCAAAATCTCAAATATTACAGATTTTATTTATGTATTTATTTTAAATGCAGCTTATGCAAGTTGCTCTGGTTGAGTCATAGACTCTTCAGTTTAGCAGAGTAGGTGCAGTTGCCAGTGCAGGCTACCCTTCAGAAGGCATTGTCCTGGGCTAAACGTTCAGCTTCCCCATCTGTCTCCAGTAAGGGAGGGAGACAGAGCAAGAGAGTATGTGAGTGGGAGAGAAAAGGATTTTAGCGCAGCTCATAATGCAACAACAACAAGAGTAGGGCTGGGTATCGATTCAGATGTTCCAATTCGATTCGATTTCGATTTTCAAGCTCTCAATTCGATTCGATTTTATAATCAACGAAGCTCTCTACACTGCGCAATGAATTTCTCACTTTGCTTATGAAAGGATTCATGAGATATGTCTGTGATACATTACTCAACGCTGCAAAAACACGAAGAAACCTTTGAAGCTCCCCTGAGCGCAATCACAAGTATGATGATGATCGGGTCAGTCGCACTGGTGCTCCTAAAAACATTTTCATAGTCGCACGCAGTAGTTTTGGTCGCACTGTAGAGCCCTGGGGCCGGTTGCACCAGCTAGACTAAAAACGCTGGATGTAAGCCCTACGCTGGGCTTTGCAATGTCCTGCTTTACGATAAATATTTACACCTGTTGCACCAACTCGAAACACCGCTGTGTTTGAATGGAGATGCGCAGCGGCTCCGCTGTGTCTTTGTTTTAAACTATTTTCGACGACGAAATAGAGCAAAATCAGACAATAGTGTTATAGTCAGACAATGTAAGTCACTTAATATTAACTTCTTGTTTATTGAATTGTTGTATTAAAACAGTATCACATTTACAAACTCCCTTAAAAATCATTAAAAGCTGTCACTCATCTTAGCTCATCGCGAGCTCACATTTATAGTCAACGAAGCTCTCTACACTGCGCAATGAATCTCTCACTTTGCTTATGAAAGGATTCGTGAGATATGTCTGTGATACATTACTCAACGCTGCAAAAACACGTAGAAACATTCGAAGCTCCCCTGAGTGCAATCACAAGTATGATGATGATCGGGTCAGTCGCACTGGTGCTCCTAAAAAAATGTCATAGTCGCACGCAGTAGTTTTCAGTCGCAAATGCGACTGAAATGGTCGCACTGTAGAGCCCTGGATCTGCCATTTTAAGCAATGAATGAATGACGGACTCTTTGTTGTAACATCGCGCAAGGCAAATAAGGGGGTGACATCTAGTGGATTAGACTAGTAATAAGATTAACGTAAATCTTATGTTTAATGTTTGCGGAAATAAATATAGAAAAAAATCGATTCGTGGCCTTTGAGAATCGATATTGAATTGACCACATTTTAAAAAACGATATATCGAAAAATCGATTTTTTTGCCCAGCCCTAAACAAGAGATCATAACATGGTGAGGGTCAACCAAACGACTCTCATTACCGCTAATTATGACGCCA